GGCCCATGCCCTCCTTCCAGCAGCTCTGAGCCTTTTGCTCTTTCTTCTCCTGTCCCAGGTGAAGTCCGTCAGCCATGACCTGGAGCAGCTGAACCGCCTGCTGCACATCGCCAAGAGCCTCATCCAGAATCCCTACCTGTGCCTGGGCTCCTATGTCAAGAGCTTGATTGCCAGCGTCATGTACTGCGTGCTGGAGCCACTTGCCGCATCCATCAACCCCCTCAACGACCATTGGACGCTCCGGGACTACGCTGCCATGCTCCTGAGCCACATCTTCTGGTGCGGCATGGTGGGGAGGGGCTGAAAGGGAGTCACTGCCACCCCCAGCACCCAGGCAGGGGAGTCAGCAGCATGTCTGGTGTCAGTGGGAGTCTCCTTCAGAGTCCAGTGCTGCCCCTGGTCTCCCAGGCAGGGCACATTGCCCCAAGGGTGTCTGAAGTTCCTTTTTTCCATGCACGCAGCTCTGATGGAGCATGATGGGGTAGGGGAGGGTCCTGGATGGGATGCACAAATCCAATCTCCAAGGATTTTCAGCCTCTGCTCGGTCTCCTCCCTCAGGACGCATGGCGACCTCGTCAGTGGCCTCTACCACCAGATCCTGTTGTCCCTCCAGAAGGTGCTGGCTGATCCAGTGCGCCCGCTTTGCTCTCATTATGGGGCAGTGGTGGGGCTGCATGCCCTGGGGTGGAAGGTAAGGGACAGCTCTCGACCCCACACGATCTTTGCTCTCCTCTCCCTGCCCAAAGGGTGGTGGTACCCAAGCCAAACACCCTGTTTCCCTGGGAGGTGGGTCTGAGAATTGAAGCAGTGATGCCTCCCAGGAGGGTGGCTACACTGGGTCCCTCTATGTTGGGGCATGGGAGGAAGTGGCTGCTGCAAGGGCTGGTAACTGCTGCTCTGTGCCCCGCTCCCATCTCTTTGTGCACACACAAGACAGAGGACCCTGGCTCAGCTCCCCAAGCCGGTACTTTAGCTTCTCATGCATTGGCTGTGCTGTTGGTTCTTGGATAGTGAGTAAATGGCCCTTTTTGGGCTGGATCTTTGCTCTCTCCTCTCCAGGCTGTGGAGCGAGTCCTCTACCCCCATCTCTCCACCTACTGGGCGAACCTGCAGGCTGTGCTGGACGACTACTCTGTCTCCAACGCTCAGGTGAAGGCTGATGGGCACAAGGTGTACGGTGCCATCCTGGTGAGTCTCACCCCTCCTGTCCAGAGGAGAGGGCTGGGCCAGGGCTCTGCCCGCAGGGCCCACACACTCACTGCAGTTCCAGGCAGCTCAGAAGCCCCTGACTGAGCTCCCATCTCCCAATAGCATAGCATCTGGCCTCAGTCAGACTAGATACAGGGCCCCTGCCAGAAAAGGGATGGGGGTGACTTGGCTTCTCCTTGGGTAGGGTGAAGGTGGTTCTCCAGTGCCCCTTATATCAGGGATGGGGATGGGCAGAAAGGGCTGTGTGAGCAGCAGCCTAATGCAGGAGCCCAGCTGAGCCAGGGATCCTCCATTCTCCTGCTGTGTGCGGCTGGGTTTGCAGCTGGGGTTAAAGAGCGGAGAGGCCAGGGCTTCTAACCAGAGCAGCTCTTCCTTTGCCAGGTGGCAGTGGAGCGCTTGCTGAAGATGAAGGCCCAGTCAGTATCAGCCCAGGGGGACAGACCATGTAGGGATGGGTGCCGTCGGGAGAGCTCTCCCTGGCTCAGCCCCCTGCAGGATCCCCAAGTGGAGTTCAGCTTTGGCATCGCCAGCCACCTGCTGCAGCTGGGCAGTGGGGGCCCCCAGCTGGGCACTGGCCTCTCTGCTGACCCTCCCGCTGTCTCCCTGCACGAGACCTACCGGGAGCTCTACGACTTCTTTGGAGACAGCCTGGCCACCCGCTTTGGCACGGGTTCGGGGCTGCACGCAGCCGAGCCGACACCTCCCGGCCCCAAGGTCTTGGACACCAAGAAAGAGCAGCCAGCCTTCGGCACAGGGGATGTGGTGCGCAAGATGCCCCAGCTGACAGCCAACGCCACAGTGAGTCCCCGGGAGGAGGAGAGCCCCCGGGCAGACTACCCACCAGGCAGACCAACCCTCCATCGCTCGGCCAGTGTTCCCCGCTCTCGTAGCGCATCACGCCAGCAGGGCCACCGGCCTGGGGTCCGTGACGTTTTCCAGAAGTGCCGCTTCTCCCCCCAGGGGCCACCCCACTTCAGTTTTGTGATTGCTGGGCGGCAAGTGGGCCGGCGGTGCAAGGGCCGAGTGTTCCAGACCTGCTTCCCCCAGCACCATGGCCCTAGCCACATTTCCCGCTATGCCCAGAAGCTGCCCATGATCGGCAGGACCAGCAAGCCTGTGAAGAAGTGGGCCCACTCAGAGTACTCCCTTTACCTGCCTCTCTGAGGAGTGACCTCTCCCCTGCAGGACTTCAGCTTACGGGTCCTTCATCCCTCCCCTGTACTACTGAGCATCCCTTGTTGGATGAAGTCAGGGGCCCCCACTCAAGCCAAACCCCTCAGGAGAGGATTTTATCTTCCAGGGTGGAGGGGGCCTACCCAGCAGTCTCTGGACTCTGCAGGGGGTGCTGAGACACATTCTGCCCTCAGCAGTGCCTCCTACGTGCCCAGACTGTGGGGCAGGCTGAGCCTGCTACCTCTGCACCTATGGACTGTACACTCCTCCAAGGGCCATCCAGGGTTTTCTGCTGTGTGATGGCTGAGCCTTTGCTGAGGAGGTGTTGGGGGAGTATGTGTGGGAGAGGGGAGGTGATTGCAGGGCTTAGGGCCTCTGTGTGATCTAGGTACAGCACACAGCAGCAGATTCCATAGTCTAACTAAAGGATTTTAGCTCCCCGGCCCCAAGCCATGTCCTCCCCTGAGGGACGAGTGCTCCTGTCCTTGTGTACTCAGCACTCCCCTTGGAGTTGGATTTTCCTGACAGCACGCAGCATTTCTCCAACTCCCCAAGCCTTGTATTGACACCTGCTTGTTTAATAAAGATGCTGCTGCTGTTGGGGACCAAGAATTTGTTTGCTGACCTCTCCCTTGTTGCATGGGGCTGGGGTAGCTATAGCACCTCCTGTCTTGCCCCTGCTAGGGGCTGCCCCTTAGCCCCTCTGGGATGTGGGCCAGTGCTCACTGAAGGTAGCCAAGGGAAGACTAACGTCTAAGAAACTCTGGCTCTCAGAGCTGAGGGACCTGCTCCTGTCTTCCTGACCCACCACCATAAACTAGGGGCCCTACCGCCACCCATCTCCACACCTGCCATGTCTGCCCCCTCTCAAATGCTGAATCAAAGCCTGGCAAGAGGAGCTGGGCCTGTCTGTAAAGTGAGGCCTACAAGGTTTTCTGAAGGTGGCTTTAAACAGCAGGACTAGGTTGCTCTTTGAGCATGTGTAAGACCCCATGGCTGTTGTAACTGTGTTTATTTTGGGAGTTAAAGGGGGTTCAAGCATGGATCTGGCTAAAATCATCCCATCTCAGTTGCATTTCAGCAGCACTATATGGCCACACTTTGGGAATGATGCAGAGTCACACAAGCTCAGGGCGGGCTGTGGCCTCTCCAACACTCATTTTAGTAAGGTGTCAAGGATGTGATTTTGTGTCTTTCTGTGATGCTTCGCAGGCACAGCTCCCAGCAGCGAGTGCAAATCCTCCCTGAGAGTGGGAGATCGGACCAGAGCAAAAATAAACCCTCTCTGTTATCTTCTACCCCAGTACCCCAGGGCTTGTTTCTCTCTAAAGGGGGAGCTGGAAGGTGATGGGCAGCAGTATGAAACCGATAGAAAACAAGTCACGTATTCAAGGTTAGGAAGCCCAAGTGCTGCTATTAGCTCACCTTCCAAGAGAGGGCATTAGCTCAGAAAGTGCCAGTTGATAACACAACTGCTAGTAGAGGTTGATGAAATCAATGGAAAAGTGACAGCCAGGACCAAGCACCTTTGCAGCTGGAGCTCTGTGTGTACGGCCAATGATAGGAGTTTGACCGAACACAAATGGGTCTTTTACAACTGAGAAATATCAGGGTAAGGGAAGCAGAGCCACCCCAGGACTGTGGCATGAGCTCCCATGGGAACTAAAGACTAGCACAAACCTTGCCAGGCCATGCTCCTCTGACACTGCCGTCTCTATCTCACACATTGCTGCATATCTACGGAGAGATTACTAGAAGACAATCCAACCCCTTCACACGCTTCTGCTAGAGAGAGGATGAGAACAAATGTCAGTCACGGTGCTTAATGCACTGAGTGGGGGGGCGCTCAGGTACTGTGGTAATGAGTGCAGTGCAAGCACCGCTATTGAAGACGGCAACCGATTCCCACCCAAGGGGACGTATTGGAGCACTCCAATGTGACTTACATGATTTACAGAGGAAGAATAATCGCAGGGGAGCCTTTCCAGAGGCTCTCACACAGAACGGTTTACATGTGGGCAATATGCTCGGGACTAGGCCTCTTGAGCTGATCTAGGATGCCTGCTACCCCGAGGCTGGAGCGGGTGTGGAAATCAGTGGCACTCCAAGCCCTCCAGCTGAGGTGTGAGGCTGCGGGTAACCCGCTGTAGACAGCCGGCGCTCTTGGCCTGTGCTGTACAGCGCCTAGCGCAATGGGGGGTGAGGAGCTGCATGCGGCGCACAGCAGAGGGGTGTGGGTTGTGTTATATCCCCGCACACAGTGGCAGGGCCAGCCCTGGCCAGGTTTGTAGCAGCCGGGGGAGGGGGGGGTAGGGTAACCAGATAGCAAGTGTGAAAAATCAGGACAGGGGGTGGGGGGTAATAGGCACTTATATAAGAAAAAGCCCCAAATATCAGGACTGTCCTTATAAAATTGGGACATCTGGTCACCCTGGGGGGGTTTACTGGAGCACGGAGCAGGGGTCTCTCTCGCGGTACTAACTGGGGGAGGGTGACGGGACAGGCTCATTTCAGCACTGAAATAGGGGGAAACAACACGTGAGCGGGCCTCCGACACACACAGCGTCCCGCTGGAGCCTCCCCAGGCTGCCGGGGGCGGATCTCCCAGGGGGCGGGGATTGGGGCTTCGGGCCCTGGGCTGGCCGAGGGGAACATGGCGGTGTCCGCGCTGCAGCTGGGGGAACTGGCCCTGCACGGAGCTGCCTTCCTCTGCGGGGTGGTCTGCGCCTCGGCCCTGACTGTCACCCAGGTACCTACCCCCGGGGGGGTCTGTCCGGGGAGGGGCGCGCGAGCGGGAAGCAGGGGCTGGGGGAAAGGTGAAAGCTCCTCCCCCCCCCCGTGGAAAAAGGCAGGGGAAACACCCGGCCCCAGTGTGCACCCCTCCCCCTCATGGCTGCTGGTGTCTCCGTGTCCACTACTCGCAGCAGCCCCCCCCACTAGTCTGACTGCCCCCAAAACACCCCCACCCGCAATCTGCAGCACCCCCACCCAGGACTCTCTCGAGCAGCCCCCCACCACCTCCACCCCTTTAAACCGTCCATCCCTGGACAGCCAGCGATCGCTAGCTGCACTGAGTGCCCAGCGGGGCAGGGGTTAATCTAAAAGGCCCTGGAAAGACTCATCACTACCTGCCAGGTGCTGCGGGAAGCATTGGCCCACCTCCCTCCCTCTGGTGCTGGATTGTGCACCCACACCCTGGTGCACTCAGCCCCTGACCTGTCATGTGAGCTGTACAGCCCTGGAGCTAATGCGAGTCAGCTGAGGCCCCGGAGAGGCAGGAAAGCTCCAGCAGTTAGTTTCCTTCCTGCCCCGCCTACGTGCACACACCCCTCCCTGTGCACACACAGGCCCCACCCTCCCATCTGGGGCACTGGGTCTCTCAGGACACAGACACTGGTTCTCCACCACTGTCTCACCACCACTCCACCACCTCCCATTCAGCCCCAGAGAAGTCATTACTGTATTTGCCATTTGGCTGCACCTATCCAGCTCCCCATCCACACAGGAAGTCATCAGTCCTGGCCCTAAGAGCTTAGAAGGCAAGTGACAGAGCTAAGCTGTGAGGCTCTCAGGCCTGGTCTCCACTGAGGCTCGGAGCAAATTCTCCCCCTGCAGCGCTCAGGGGCTTGGGAGACTAGCCAGACTGGGTACTGCCAATTGAACCTAGACCTGCTTCAGGCAGGGTTAAAGAACTTGATGGTAAAATGCCCCAGCCCTCTGCTCCCAGCATGGCTACTGCAGAGAGGAAGGGTAGATGGCCCAACTGGCATGAGACTTGGTTACACACCTTGCTCCACCACGAGCCTCCTATGTGACCTGTGAGTTACTTATGTCTCCTCCAACGGCTCTGTAGCTTGTCCCCCAGTTGGAATGGGCAGAGGGAGGAAGTGCTGAGACAAAAGTGCCTCAGCAAAACTGTAGCAAACTGTGACAAAGTAAGACTATTTTGTAATATTTCTATGAGTCCTGTCTGCCTCAGTTTCTCCTGCTGAGGGTGGTAGAAAGGGAGCATTTGCTCTCAGCTCAGGCTAGGAGATGTAAGTGTGGGTGTCGGCTAGCTGCCTGGGGCTTGGGTCCGCATATCAATACAGCATTTGAGAAGACAATGGCAAATCCAATCACCTGGATGTTGGTGCCTAGCAACCAAAGACCCCAAGGGACAGGGATTTCCACACCTCGTAGGCCTCGAGAATAAGGGACTGGGAAGGTGGGGAGATAAGAGTGGGCTGCTGGAAGGAGTCAGGACTCACTTGAAGCCTGACCAAGGAGATCAAATGCAAGACAGAGCTTGCACCAAGGGTTCACTCCAGCTTGGCTGGGCTCTGGGCTAACCCGAATGGACTGTGCTCTAACCTTCAGGTCTCTGTGCTACCCAAAGGACTTCCTAGGCTGTGTGCCAGTGAACTAATAAACTCCACTAAATAAATTGTGACGCTGTTTGGTGTCACTACGGGTGCTTGGCAAGGTGCACTAATCCCTGAGGAGTGGACAAGTCTCTATCAGGGGTCTGTGTCAATTGGACTCACTGAACAGAGCTCACGGTGTGAAGCAGGAGTGCTGGAGGCCCAGAGGTCCAGTCAAAGGAGGAGGTGAAGCTGCATGGCTTATCCTGGAAGAAGGGAGACCCTTAGGGGGTCTGGCACACTGAAGGGGCTCCTCCTAGAGACTTCCAAAACAGGGGGCGTAGCACAATCCTGTGGCTCAGTGACAGGCTGAAAACAATTCCACACAGGGGTCTGGGAAGGGCAGACAAGTTCTCCCACAATACACCACAAACCAGTTCCTAGAGCAGCTTCAGGTGCTAAGGGTCTTGGGACACACCCCAGAAATCCTAGCGCAAAACACACACAGCTGCAGCACCAGTGTGGAGATAGGCTGGGTACATGTGTGACTGCAGATGTGCCAGCCAGGAGACAGGTACACCATACGCCTTGGGTCTCTGGCCCAGATCCTCAAAAGTATTTAAGCAACTAACTCCCCTGGGGAGGACAGTCCTTCCCATGGAAGTGAGGTGCCTAAATACCTTTGAAGAGCTGGACCTCAATTCCCCAAGGAGCATACAGGCATTAGACAGATGCTGGTGGAGTCCCGCCCTCCCCGTCCCTGCCAATCTTGGGCAGGGCCTCAATGCCTTGCTATAAAACAACGGAAATGCTGCTGAATGGGAGTGTCCATGTCCCCTGTGCTGTGGAATCTGCTCCCCAAGGAAGCCGTCTCTGTTCTCTCGTTCCCAGGGGGAGTTTGGTGGCCGGTGTATCCTCTATGGGTCCGTAGACAAGAACGGGACGGCCCTCGCTCTGTCTCACTTCAGCAACATCTCCCTCTGTTACTTCGTCACTGCCATCTCCATCCTCATCGCTGTGTACTGCTTTGCAGTGCTGCTCTACGGCATCTACAGCTGCTGCATGGACGAGAGGAGGTGGTGAGCAGAGGGCACATGTTGGGGTGGGGAGTTAGAGCCACCCAGTCCCACCGGCTGGTCACACTGATCTCTTCCCCCATCCCATTCCAGGGATCACACCTGGCTCACCGTGAACCTGGCAATCTCTGCTGTGATCCTTTTCTTCCTGCTGGTCTCGGCCTGCATCCTTCGGGTTGGGATGGACACTCTGTGCTCGTCCATCCTCCAAACCAAACTTGTGAAAAGGTAGGTGGGCTTTTCTCCCTCAGGGGAGGACCGCACTCCCCATGTCCAGAGGGACTCCCTGCCCCAGCAGGATCACATCATTCCCAGCAGCCACAAGCTCTGAGTCGGTGGACCCAGCACCGGGGGTGGAATCATTGGCCTGTGTGGGATTTCTCCTCCTCTAGCTCTCCAGCTAATCCATGCTCTGTCCTTTCTTAACTCCACTCTAGCTGCCAAGAGGCCCAGCACTCACAGTGGTTCCCACAGTATAATGCAGCGAGGTTCTACGACAATCTCTACAGTGCTGAGGTGAGAATTAACCCAGGGGTAGGGGGCAGCAGCTGACGGGGGCGGAGGGAACAGCAGAACTTCTGCCCCCAAGAGTTTCAAGGAGGGCTGGCCATTGCTGTGAGAAACATGGAAGCACAGCAGCACGAACACAGCATGAGCGGCTTGTGAGAACCATTATTCTCAAGCCCCTGGTTTGGGCCCCGTCCCATTAGAGGAGACCACGGGGGAGGGAAAGAAGGTGGGCTCCATCCAATTAACAGTCAGTCCCATTACCATTAGTGAGGAAATTCCACTTGCTGCAGTGCAGTCAGCTTGGGGGACTCCAGGCAGCCGGATTTAGTATCTCGGTGGCCCCTGATGTTTGTAGGTGAGCTAAGAACGAAGTTGAACACCCTCATGCTTCGGGGGAGGAGGAAATCCCACCCCACGTGAGCCAGGTGTTCACTGATGAAGCAGCAGGCAGGACAGACAACTGGACAAGGCAATGGTCTGGCTGCCTCTTCCTGGGGCAGGGGCTTTGGAGGAAGGGTCTGAGGGAGACGGGCAGGGAGGGCGATACACAGCCATGTTTCACCAACCCCCTGCTACCTGTGGTTCTCCCCACTCCAACAGGCAGCTGCCTGGGTGAACTTCTTCTTCTGGTGTCTGCTGATGGTCCTGATGCTCGTGCAGCGCAGACAGGAAGCCCCGTTCCAGCTCCTGCAGCGCAACGACCCCGAGTGGAGCTCCGAAACAGACGCCATCTTTGGTGCCCGGCCACAGAGGCCATGAGGAGACTGAGAGGGACAAGCAGCCTCAGTTTGGGCAAGGGGGGAATGTGTGTGTGTGTGTGTGTGTGAGAGAGAGAGAGAGAGAGCGAGCGCACGCACGAAGGGGGGAGAGGAGAGGGCTGGAAGCATCCCCCTCCCCCCCGTGCCTTTCTTCTGGCTTCAGGGGTGCTCTGCTTGTCCTCCTCTGGCCATTCTGGTTCTTGATAGTGAGGGAAGCCAATGGGCTGGCCAGTAATCCTGGCTGTCTGGCGTGATCCCACTCATAGTCCCAACCTCCAGTACCTGTCTCCTCCCACCTCCACCCCTACAGAGAGGGTGGGCCAGGGCTAGGGTTCACCTCACACACAGGCACCCTACGGGGGAGCGGGGGGTTCTGAATATGAGAGGATCTCAGCACAGACATGAGCTGTGCAGCGCTCCTTGACATCCCCACCGGAACCCACTGTTGACACTGCAGGTTCCGTAATCCTTGGATCTGAGGGACACCAGCAGCCACATCCAATCTCCCCTCCCCCGAAGCTCTCTGATGTCAGTGTGATGGGCTTTATGTAAGACCGTGGGGTGCATCTGCCTTAAATACCAGAGACACTGGGAGTGCACGAGCCCATTCCAGCTGGGCGTGTGTAATCACAGAACTAGCTTAGTGGAGGCAGAGCGATTCTTCTCAGGGAGTGGGGAAAGGAGGGCTTAGAGCGGGCCCCTGCCCAGATGGGAGAGACAAGCCCCAGCAGCACCACCGTGACACTCGTTACAGGATGTGGGGCCCAAGTGCCAATGGGCTGGGTGTCCGACTGTCCAAAGCTGGTTGCCGTACCCTCTCAGCGAGAGGGCATCTCATTTCAGGAGCCAAAGAGAGAATGCCAGCTGCCTAACTGCAGGCGATCCTGCTGGGCCAGCAAGTCCCTTCCACGGGGTGTTTGAAGACCAGAGCAAGAGGGAAGGGCCCATTCATGCCTAAATGCCTCTGCAGACCCCGCTCCTGCTCAGGGGTCGGGATCTCCTTGCACCATTATTGTATGTGGAACTGGGCCCATTTCTTGTGCCTTTTCATTTTGTACTAAACCTTGTTATTAAAATGATGATTTTCACCAGATCAGCTTGTGCAGGGGCCATTTCGTCTTCCTGGAAACCCCTCCAGATGCTGTTACTACTCAGTACAACCCCATGTGGAGCCCCACACCCAGCTATATTGCATGAATGCTACCAGAGCCACTCATGAATCACCCAGAGAAAGGCACCACCCAAATCCCCCCAGCTCCCAGCACTGTACCTCAGGAATATACCATCTTGCACTGCTCAAGATGAGTAATGCAGATTTATTAACTGGTTCACCACTTCAGCAATGGAAAATGGACATGCCCCAGCCTTTGTGACCTGAGCAGATTTACCAAATGCTTCAGGCAAACTTGCTGGAGTTACCAAAAGAAAATAAAAGATAAGCACGCAGTCTAAACTCTCAACCTATAGACTGGGTGACATCTAGATTAAGCAGTTTTTCTCACTGCACTGGATATTGCAGGTTGGTCACAGTCTTTCATCTGCAGGCTTTTCCTCTTAGCCTCAGGACAATCTCTTCAGCTCCAGCTTTCTTGTTGCCTTCAGCGTAGGTAGAGGAGAAGAGAAAGGACGAAGCATGTGGCCACTGTGTTGTGTTTTATACCCTTGGTCCATGTGCTTGGAGAACACGAGTCCAGGCATGTCTGGTGGGCATTGCTGAGTCCCTAGAGCAATTCCCCTGGTGTGGCCTTGTGCTAGTGAGTCATTGCATTGTAGCTCCCTTGCTGGACAATGGCTATTGATGGTTGTTTGACACCCACCCTGACGTTGGTTAGCTCCTTTGTTCTTGTCTCTGGGAATCTAATATCTGGGTTATTCCCCAGCATATTTTAGTGGCAACCAGATAACCCAATATCATGACTTCATATGCACTAATGATACACATATTTAGATAGAACAATGGCTTTCAGCAGATCATAATGGAAAATGGACATGCCCCAGCCTTTGTGGTGGGAGAGATAGCTCAGTGGTTTGAGCATTGGCCTGCTAAACCCAGGATTGTGAGTTCAATCTTTGAGGGGGCCATTTAGGGATCTGGGGCAAAAATCTGTCTGGGGATTGGTCCTGCTTTGAGCAGAGGGTTGGACTAGATGACCTCCTGAGGTCCCTTCCAACCCTGATATTCTATGATAACCTTTCCCCAATACCTCACCTGGCATGATTTAGATGAAATATCACAATCATATATACACAATGACTATGGGGGTTACAGGGCGCTCCCCCCGAGATATAGAATGTCACAATAGTTTGCTCTGTTTGGTTGGGGCACCGTATGCTGAGCCTAACTGCTAGGCAAGGCTGAGAGCTTCTTAACCAGGCTTGGACCCCCAAGCCCTTTAGCACTCATCACCCCTTAGCGAGGAGCTAGCAAACAGAAGCAGCTAACTGGAGAGTTTTGTGAGGGAATCTGAGGGGAGGGGGCTAGATACACTTCATTAACTTTCTTTAAACTTAAGGCAATAAACACCCCCGATAAAAACAACAATAAAGGAAACAGCTGCAGGAGTAAAAAGAGAATGCAGGCAGAAGTCCAGCAACAGAGTGGGGGCTGTCCAGTTTATTGCACTGAGTGCAGCATGTATGATTACCTGCCCGATGGGTGGGTGGCATACGTGTGCATTCGGTACAAGGAGCTTCTGGCCCTCAGAGACCGTGTATGGGCTTTGGAGGCCAGAGTGGCTGAACTGGAGGAGCTAAGGGAGACAGAGAGGTACATAGATGAGACATTCCGGGACACAGTAGAATGGTCCCATCCCCGGTCCGACAGCCCCTGTGCTGTTGAGGAGGATGAAAGTCTCAGGGAAGGAGAACATCCAACTGGAGCAGAGGGAAATGATCCCAGAGTTGGGACCCTCCTCCCAGATGATGTCATGGTATCCTCATACTGAGGATACCCTCTGGGGGAGGGAACTCCAGTTATTAGGAAGAGACAGGTAATAGTAATGGGGGATTCGATTGTTAGAGACATAGTTGGGTTTGTGATGACCGGGAGAACTGCCTGGTGCCTTGCCTGCCTGGTGCAAAGGTTGCAGATCTCTCAAGACATCTAGATAAACGTGTGTGTGTGTGTAGTGCTGGGGAGGAGCCAGTGGTTGTGGTTCATGGCGGTACCAATGACAGGGAAGGACAGGAGAGAGGTCCTGGAGGCCAAATTTAGGCTGCTAGGTAAGAGATTGGAGTCCAGGACCTTCAAGGTAGCATTCTCTGAAATGCTTCCAGTTCCACGCGCAGGGCCAGTTAGACAGAACTGCAGGGTCTCAATGCGTGGATGAGACAATGGTATAGGGAGAAGGGGGTTAGATTTATTAGGAACTAGGAAGCCTTTTGGGAAAGGGGGAGCCTATACAGGAAGGATGGGCCCCTCTTAACCCAAAATGGAATGGGATGGCTGGCATGTAAATTTAAAAAGGTCGTAGAGCAGTTTTTAAATTAAGGGCTAGGGGAACGTGGACAGATGCAAAGGAGCATGTGGTTCAGACAGACACATCCCTTAGGGCAGTGTTTCTCAACCAGGGGTACGTGTACTCCTGGGGATACACCGAGGTCTTCCAGGGTTTATATCAACTCATCTAGATATTTGCCTAATTTCACAACAGGCTACATAAAAAGCACTAACGAAGTCAGTATAAACTAAAATTTCATACAGACAATGACTTGTTTATACTGCTCTATATACTATCCACTGAAATGTAAGCACAATATTTATATTCCAGTTGATTTATTTTATAATTATATGGTAGAAATGCAAAAGTCAGCACTTTTTCAGTAATAGTGTGCTGGGACGTTTTTGTATTGTTATGTCTGATTTTGTAAGCAAATACTTTTTAAGTGAGGTGAAACTTGAGGGTACACAAGACAAATCAGACTCCTGAAAGGGGTACAGTAGTCTGGAAAGGTTGAGAGCCAATGCCTTAGGGGAGGACTATTAATGGAAATTCTCTGTATCTAAGTAAGGAGGAGAGGATGGACTATGATAAAATATGGGTAGGGTCTGATGAGAAATGGTGAAATGAAAGAGTTCCATTCAATTACATCACATAATGGTAAACAGTGACAATTTTTTAAAATGCTTATATACAAATGCTATAAGTCTAAATACTAAGATGGGTGAACTAGGGTGCCTCGTATTAAATGAGGATATAGATGTAACAGGCATCACAGAAACTTGGGGGAATGAGGATAATCAATGGGACACAGTAATACCAGGGTATAAAATATAGTGGAAGGACAGAACTGGTCGTGCTGGTGGGGGAGCGGCACTATATGTGAAAGAAAGTGTGGAGTCAAATGAAGTAAAAATCTTAAATGAACCAAACTGTACCATAGAATCTATATGGATAGAAATCCCATGCTTGGATAAAAAGAATATAGCGGTAGGGCTATACTACGGATCACCTGACCAGGATGGTGATAGTGACCGTGAAATGCTCAGGGAGATTGAAGAGGCTATACAAATTAAAAAATCAATAATAATGGGGGATTTCAACTATCCCCATATTGACTGGGTACATGTCATCTCAGGATGGGAAGTAGTATAAGGGCCCTACCATCAATCAACCCTAACCCCGCCCCTTGACCCCTTAAACCCCGCCCATTGACCCCTTGGTCCCTCCCACCTGTCACCGGAAGTCCCGCCCTATGGGGGTATTACTTCCGGGGTCAAGGTGCCACCTGACCGGAAGCAAGGTGTGTCATGTGACCCCTCTAAGAACTCCCCCCACCACCCTCTACCAATCAGGAGGGGTTTCGTCCCGTTTCACTGAGATAAAACTGTGTATAGATCCATTCCGGTACATAATACTGGCCTCTGTCTGCATGGCTATGTACAGGTTTATGTTTTTGGAGCCTAACACGGTAGCTCTTCTCCCTCCAGACAACTATCACAGGCAGAAAAAGAGATATTCGACCCCATCTATTCAGTGGCTGTTGTATATCTCTCACAAAGAAAATATACAAATACGGCACGCTTTACAGGGTGGGAACTACAGGTAGGCCCCTACTTTTTAGACGGTTATGCCAATGTTGATGGGGTACGCACAGCCTTTGAGTTTAACG